CCCCGGCCCCTCTGGCAGCTGCCGGCGGGTCAAGGAGCACTACTACCGCACTCCCTGGGCCCCGCGACGACGAGGCGCCGCGCCACAGGCCGCGTGTCGCGCAGCAGAGTCTGTTTCGGATGAATATTCCGCCAGGGGCTGCGTGGCCTTGCCTGGACAGCGCCAAACGGCCGGGCCGCTCAAACGATGATTTTCGTTTACCTTTCGTTTTTATTTCCCCTTAAACGATCCTATTCAGTTTCTGTTGTTGTTGCCGCTAGCTGAGTCAGCGCGGGCCGGACGGCAGCCGAGAGCAGCGAAGGTCTTTCCCCCCTCTGAGCAGCATGTTGAATACGCATCCCAAAAGTGGTCGCTGTTCCTCTCATTTTCGGCGTTCGGTTTTGTGCGCGAGTAGATGCCACCTCCCATCCCCTCCACAAAAAGAGACCACTTGGACGACGGCCTTGGCTGGCGGGAGCGCCAACAAGTGATCGGCGACCGTCGGCGACGCACAGAGGATGCTGAGTTGCGCAATTGCGAGCTCCCCCTTGCCACGACCCCCTCCCAGGGCAGATCGCGATCCTTATTATGCACAACCCGTGCCGTTTGCTCCGTATGCGATGGGTGTGCTCTGCTCGTGCTCTCTAGGCTCCGCCTGCTGGGTAGGCCACCCAACTGCCAGTAGCGTGTGCTTGGTGGACCGAGAGAAGCACTCCCGCTCCCATACTGCCGGAACGCCGATGCCAGTTGCCAGTGGGGAAATATCCGAACCAATAAAGGGTTCGCCGAGTAAACGAAGATTAACTTTATTTACAGAACACAGGACATCAAATATAAAAACAAAGACGACTGACCAGCCAGCTGGCGATGATTATGTACCACAATGAACGAGCTACTCACGCTCACGAACTGTATTAACTGCACACTACCATTAAGAGGCCATGGCGCCCTACGGGCAGAGGGGGCAGACAAACCCACTCGCACCGGTACGTACGCCTGAAACAACCAGTACTCTACGATATGCATGACTTGATGGTTTCGCATTCACACTCTATTTGTTCATTCTTTTCTCTGTTCTTATTCGATGTATCTCACTTTCACACCAAACGTTTCACATCAGCCATTAATTAGCTCTTCCAGCTACGTTCGTTCGTTTGTGTTTCGTATCTGTTTACAACTGCGATATGCGTTTATGGGAATCAGTCTCATAAGACAAAATGGAGAAGTTTTGATTTTCTAGCTCTCTCTAGTATGATACGGGTACAAATATTTATGCTAACGTCAACAGTCATCAATTTGGTAACTTTGGCTGAGCCCTTACTCCTTCATTGGGCTCACACCCACACACTGCTAAGGAACTTGATATAAGGCCTAGTGGAAGATGTCCATCAGGGGAAAAGCTCTTTGTACGTGAACTTTAACGTGATCTTATTGGCGATGTCGGTGAAGAGATCAGCGAGTGATGATTCCAGCGTGGGCAGAATCTCGTCGAGGAACACCCGCGAGTTGTCGTTTATAAGGCGGTTGGCCATGGGACCTGCGGCAGAGAACGGGGTGAGCGTCGAATGGGCTGCCTGTCGAGCGGGGCAGAGCGAGTGGAACGGCCCTCCGGGCCCGGGCGGTATGCAGGAGGTGCCGGAGGGGTTGCCTACCGGGGCGGCGCACGTCTCGTAGCATTGAGATAACACGACGTAAAGACTTACCCAAGACTGGGTCGCCGTCAAAGAGGTTGGAGAGGGCGATCTGGGCGTCACCCACTTTGAGCTTGAGCTTCATTCGGTCCAGCATCAGGTACTCGTCCTTCCCGCGAGTGATCTTCTGACCCGTCATCTTCACCTTGCAGGCATAGTTGGCTGGGGGACAAAAGAAGGGAGGCGGACTCAACGAAGTGAAGCGGGGAAGCCATCGAAGTACAAGGCTCACTCTTCGCTTACTCCGCGGTCCACAGGACTCACACGCACTGAAAAATCAAGTGTTCAACCGGGTTCCACTTCTCAGTGCAACTTACCGGTACTCACTGGCAAGTGTGTACCGGTTTAACACTGTAATTATCAGCGCAGAGCAAAGGCCGAGAAAAAAGTTTAAGAATAGGGAAAAGTGAACCTCAATGACGAAACTGCTGTCAAATTGTAGCGATTACTTCAATTAATGTCATTTGCAGCTCTGCTGTTGTCAGAAAAAAGAAATGGAACCACAAATTTTCGCAATGTGGGTCGGGTCATATGCCGAGCGGACGCAGCAGTGTTCTGGGGTTCTGGGTTTGCCTAGTCCCTCTTCTTGTAAGACGCCTGCAGACTGAGAGGGTGTACAAGCCCGCAACAATGCGTCGTCTACTCTGATACACCTCATAAGGTATTTAGCCCGGGCGGAATACCGTGCACCTACTGAAGTTTCCGGTGAGTCCACCGTTTCCGTGGATATTGAGGAGCAATATCCTCATAGCGATCTTGTAGCTGCCAATAAAGTGGAGGTGCGGCAATAGCAGGTCGAAGTCGAATATGTTCTTATCGAGGTCAGTCCTGTAGAAGAAAACAAAAGGTTTATCCGGGGCTCTACGGCGAGAGGGAGAGGGAGAGGGTAAAAAGAGGAAGGGGGCACCGCGACCCACACTCACTTGAGCTCCTGGATGATGAAGGAGTTGGCGCCAAACACCTTGATGTTGGTGATGGTGGCGTCGAGTCGTGCGCCCTGCGGCCCTCGAGACAGTCGGATCTCCTTGAGGTGCAGCGGGTCCACGCCGGGCACGTCCAGCTCGGGGATACCTGGCATCAGACGGGTGCTTTAGCGCGGGGGACGGGAGGGAGAGCTGGAACAGTTGAGGCAGACGGACGCCTCCCCCGACGGTGCGGCTCACCTTTCAGCAGCTTTGGCCTCAGGGCGTTGATGGACGCGTTTATACACTTGTTCACGTTCGGATCGGATCTCTTGCAGACCTTTATGTACTCGGCTGCAAACAGAACCACAAAGGCGATCGCATTAATGACTGTTGCGTTTATTGTCCCCTCCCACCCTCTCACCATCACGGCCCCGCGGCTCAGTCAGCGGCAGAGTCAAGGGCAAGCGCTGGCGGGCGGCGGGGGGGACAGGACAACAAAACAAACCCCGGCCTGGCCCGGTCCGGCGCGGCCGGGACGCTGCACCGCGGCTCGGCGGCTATGGGCGAGGCCCGCGGGCGGCCCCGGCCCCGGCCCGGAGCAGTTGCGTTAGTTAGCCCGACTCCGGTCCCATTCGGTCGGTCCTGCTGGTCCTGCTGGTAGCTTGCGCCACTACCAGACTGCTGTCCAGGCCT